AGGCTGTGAAGGCTAGAACTAGAACAGAGTTTAAAGAGAAGTGAGATCAATTCATGGAGGTTGGGTCCATGGAGTGCTATTAGCCAGGGGGTAGGAGTGGTGTCCCTACCCAAGGTTTGTGGAAGGCTGGAGAGGGATGGTACGAGACAAATGTCTTGGTCACTGTCTTTGGTCCATCCCCTCCAGGGTCCCTAGGGTGGGCTGCTGTCAGCACACAGGCTACTGGGCTAGATGGTCCTTTGGTCTGACCCAGTACGGCCATTCTAAGCTCAGGGCTCAGGGCCGGGGGTCTCAGTGGACCACCTTGATTTTCATGCAAACCTGCTAGCTGCTCTCCTGCCCTAGACGGCCGCTTTCCTGTGCCTAGTGCGGAGGTCGTGGATGAGGTCCATGATGTCTGCACTGGACCAGGCGGGTGTCCGCCTCTTGCGGTCCTGGGCAAGCTCCCGGGAGCTGCCAGGTGCAGGGTCTGCTGACTGGGTGCTGGCAGGCTTGCACCTGGCACGGGCATCGTAGGCTGCCCGTGCCCCTTTAAGGGGTCCTGGGCCGGGACGGGGGCATACGAGTTTCCCTGGTGTTGGCCAGAGTGGCCTCCAGGGAAAGCTGGGGAGGGCTAGCCTCCCACTAGTTCAAATCAAGGGGCTACACACCCCTTAATTCGAACTAGTAAGTTTGAACTAGGCTTAGTCTTCGTAGAATGAGGTTTTCCTAGTTCGAACTAGCGGAGCGCTAGTGTAGCGCCTATCAAAGTTAATTCGAACTAACGGCTGTTAGTTCGAATTAACTTTGTAGTGTAGACATACCCTAAGGTACTACAGGACTACTCATTTTTTGTGCAACTTTAAGAAAATATATTTAAAAGAAAATAGTGAACCATCTTCAAGGAACACATACTACTCTCAATGGAACTCTCATTGATATTATTGAGGTTACGCACAGATTCTTGGTTATTGTTTTCTATGCCCAATGAAGTAAGGAGATATTTTGAAACATATTATCTCTCAAGTTCATTGTGGGCCCATATACTCTTGGAAGCTAAGAGAAATCATTACGTGATGTCACCTTAAATTCTCCATGCAGATCACTGAACAGTATGTGCCCTTGTAGCTGAACTCAGCAAAAACAAAAGATCAAATAGTGTGTGCAACACACAATGGTGAGATCTGGAGTGTGTTTTGATATTTAAAGCTGTATATCCACAGGTTTGTGACTTGACCTTTCACCTTACTGCAAGAATTGAGCCCCAAAAATGTACCTTTTGTATCACTGACAGTGAAGAAGGCCTTAAAATGAACATAACCGTGGTTGTACTTACTTTGAGGCCCATTTCCAAGGCAAAAGTAGTGCAAGGGGAGGTTTAGTTCATGAGAATCAGGCTTAGTTTTGCTGGGTTTCAGTAACTTTTTAGAGCTTCTTTAATGATACATGGGAAACAATGGAGCTTTGATTTACTGAGACAGGAGCTTTTCAAAAGTTTAGCCCCCAAAGAAGCAAACATATTTGGAGAGGGAATATGAATTGCTTCATATAGAACAATTCTGCCAATGGATATTACAGTACCACAAAACTGATTTGGAATACCCTTACTTTTCTAATCTTACATCATTTCTGACACTTTTAAAACTTAATTTCAGATAGCAAAGACTGAATAATGTCAGTGCTAAACCAGAGAATCTTAGGTCTACAAAAGTGAGTAACTGTTTCTGTAACCCATGTTGACATTGGTGTTTGATCAATCCATTTTCATAGCATACTTATATTGTATACTTGTTTATTTTATGAAAGTCATACTTGTATGAATTTCTAACCCATCAGACTGCATTATGGCTCCAATACAGCAAAGTACTTAAAAATGTGTTTTTATTCAAGCATATGAATAATGTCATTCACCCTAAAGAAACTATCCAAGTGATTTCCAGGATTGTGCAAAGAATTATTTTTTATTGTGTAGTGTTAAGACTTCGCGATAATAATCACATTATAATGCACAAATTGCTTTACTAAATCCTTTGTTAGCTCAATACAAATTTCTGTTCGTTAGCTTCATAGATTTATTACAAAATATTTATCAGGGTCAAATGTCAATTCTATAGCAAATGATTTATATAATTTTTGTACTGAAGAAAAAAATAAAGTAGTCTCAAGTTTATTATATAAATGTGTCTTCATTTTCCTTATTGGTTTTAAGACTTCAGATTAAGCAAGTATATAAGTTTTATATCTTTTTTATTATTTTAGCATTGTGTGTGTTTTGCTTATGAAATGGTGCAATGTTCTGTTTGCCGAAGTGGTTTTATATGCTACAAATTACAAATATTTTTCATGTTTGCCTTCCTGTGTTTAGCAAAACTGTGCTATAATAATTAGTTCCAGGAAAATTCTTGGCAATAACAGAATCAAAACTTCTACACAGCAGCTGTATGCATTGATCATCATAGCATTTATCAAATTATTCTGAAGACTAATGGCTGCAACATAAACTAAGAAAATTGCATAAAATGACAACTTTTTCTGAAGAACTTTGAAAAAGAAAGATTTTATTTTCCCAAAACTGAATCCATATTGACAAAAAAAAAAAACTCTCTCAAAGTCAGGCAAGCCTAAGCCAATTGAAGACTGTCTCAAGGTTTGACATTTCACAAATAACTATTTCTTTTATACAGTATTATGCTAAATTCTAGTCTTCCATTCACTTTCTGCCACTGAAAAAAATATAAAATTATTAGACCAGGATCACTTACCTTCAGTCATCACCTCCTAAGAAACATTTAGTTCAGTAACAAAATAAGATTATTTTCCTAGGGTATAAGTGACAATTTTGAAACTATGGAATCTCAGAAAGGAGCCTCTTACCAGATGTTTCCTGGCCACACAGGAAGACAAAGTGCAATGAATGTGGTTTAATTAAGCCATAATTTTCTAATCTCATCAGGGAAATACCTGGCAATCACAGTGCAGCTCATCATTTGTTCCTTAAATGTTGCCGTTATTTTGGGGTTTTTGGGAAGGATGCCATCAGCGAATACCCATTTCCATTTGGGAACCATTATTCACCCTTCATATGAGGGTTAATGGAACAGTGGTGAAAAAGAGAATTGTCTTGCCATTGTATCAGACATTAGGAGCACCAACAACCATTTCCCATTTTCCTTGAGGAGGCTTTCCCTAAATCCACCGCCAAGTTCATTTTATCGGGGAACCAGCCCCTCTACAGTATACCTGCTAAATTGTGACAAATTGGTTTTAGCTCCTTATTTAGCCCACTGGGTCCAAGACCTGCTGTGGGAAGGTATTAAAAAAAAACCTACCCCCATCCTAGTGTGAGAAAAAAAATCCCAGTTCCAAAAGAAAACAGGTGACAAGCAATGTGCCTACAGTACATCATGAAACCTGGTGCTACTCTGATACCATGGGTAGCTGTAGCTTTTCCAGAGTGAGAAAGTACTATGGTTGGAAGAAGTAAAGTATAAATATTCTCCCCAATTCAGCCTCATTTGGCTGCTCTTTGGGTCAGGTAACCAGTCCCCACCTTTTGCTATTCTCTAAACCTAATAGCAGTTGAGTAGAACTTAAATGGAGCTACCACCTCTTTTTTCCTTATTTCTCTGAGGCTATGTCTATACTTCAGAGGTTTTTGGGGATAGGTATCTGGAAAACTCTGCCACAACCAGGGAACGTGTCCACTTTTTCAGAACAGTTTCCAAAAAACCGGGTGCATTCTTTCGGAAGCCCTGTATTCCTCATTTTATGAGGAATAAGGGCTCTTCTGATTGAGGAGGTTTTTCCCACATTTAGCCCCAGGTAGAAGGGCCAAATGTAAGAAAAGACTCTTCTGAAAAAAGAATCAGAAAAAGGTACACAAATTGAGGTTCGCAATTGGTGTACCTTTTTCCCGAAAAAGAACTATAGTGTAGACATAGCCTGAGAAAGTTCCATGTTGTGAGGTTTTTTTTGTTAGGTTGCAGCAAGTACACTGTCTTCTCCCTCATAACTAGATGTTAAGGCTCATAATCTCAGAGAATATTTGGTTCTGATTTCTATACAATTTTTAATTTTCTGGATCAGAAGATGCCTTTAAAAGGACACTATCAAAGAAAATGGCCTACTTCTACATCCAGGATTGCAAACAATGAAATTACTATTCAATTATTCAATTGTTGAAATCAGTTCAATACTGTTGCTTGTTAGGGCAGGAAATAATTGAAAATCATTTTATATTTTACAAATTTTAAGCACAGTGATCTTAATATTTATATAGCTTTTGTATGTTTATTGATATTGTTGTAATTTGGAATGAATTAAGGGAATTAATGTTATGAAGTATTTTATTTATATGTTAGTTCTCAAGCTACTTGGACAGCATAGAGACACCTGAATTTGCCTTAGGTACCCCCATAATGTTCTGTTTTGTGTGACAAAGCTCATGTTGACATCATCCAGCTATTATGTTTTACATCTTCAGAGGGAAGAGATCTTTTCCACCTTGTTTTATAGGGTCAAATCCAGTTAATTTACAGCTCTCTATTCACCTAGTCTGACCACTTCATATATAAATATTGCACCGGCATTACATTAATCTACTGTTACTTTTAATCAATGTTCAATGTATTACATGGATGAAAGAAACTAATGGAATTATTTTGATGGAAAGTTATGTAATGAATCAAGTATGTCAAGTAAATTTAATATCATGATCTTCTATAAAAGAGTATATTTTATGAAAACTCTCAGACATTAAAATACCAAAAGAACCTTAATTTCTACATGATTCTTTCCATTTCTCATCAGAACAGCTTCTATGACCAGAACACAGGATGTATTTAAATGAATGCAAACTGTAGTTTTCAATAATTTCTTCTTTGAACAAACATGTTATCGAATCATATTTGCATCCAAGAAGAATATGCAAGCTTGAAAACATCTTCAGATAACAGCTTTATCCAGTGGAATGTGATTTGACCAAGCTATTAGAGCTTTTCATGTTAGTTTCCCTTACCTTGGTGTTTTCAATGCTTGGGCATCAATAATGCAAAACAAGTATGTTGGAAACGCAGTATCCCTTCAAGAACGTATTTTGTAATGGTGTGTTGCCTCCTTGATATTCTGCTATAGCCATAAAAATCTGAAAAAAAGAATTTAAGTAGTGTTGAGACACTACAACTTTTAATCACTTTATAACAACTTATTCATTTTATATTTAATTGTAAATTGCTTCTGGGCTTTATTTCAGTCTTACTCACTATATGTCTACACTACCATCCTAGTTCTAACTAGGCTGGTTAATGTAGTCATTCGAAGTTGCAAATGAAGCCTGGGATTTAAATATCCCGGGCTTCATTTGCATCTTGCCGGACGCCGCCATTTTTAAATCCCCGTTAGTGCGGACTCCGTGCCCGCAGCTACACGCGGCACAGAGTAGGTAGTTTGAATTAGGCTTTCTAATTCGAACTACCGTTACTCCTCATGGAACGTGGAACGAGGTGTACCGGTAGTTCAAATTAGAGATCCTAATTCGAACTACCTACTCCGTGCCGCGTGTAGCCGCGGGCAAGACTTGTAAATATTTTAGGGTATGTCTACACTACCACCCTAGTTCGAACTAGGGTGGTAGTGTAGACATACCCTAAAATATTTACAAGTCTGCAAGATTTTATCCATGCATGTACGGATTTAAAAAATCTTTCAAAAGTATATCCAACAGAAATGAGTGAACTGTTTAAATGATTGCTTAAATGAGGTGCAATTAAATGAAACATCTGATTTAATTCCTGTTGTGTATGCTTGTTTTAAGAAATAGTGTTGTTAAGTAAACTACAGCAAAGCCAGTGCAAAAACCTTTTAGGGTAACTTTGACTTAAGAAATGACCCCCAAAGAATTCCCAAGATGGAGGACAATTATGCTTCAACTTTTAGTAAATCACTTCTGGTTAGCCAATCTCTTTTAGTGAGTGTTCAACTTGTCTTACTTTATAATTAGTAGAAACTTTCCAAGTGATAGCCTTATTAGTATTTATATCCACAATCTGTACAAGATTGTGACTTACCTCATATAGCAGCTCTTATTCCTCTGCGTAGTATGACAGGTTTGTGTGTTGTGTCTGATGGGGTAGAAATATATGTTTTGCATGATGGAAAATGGGTAGAGTTTTGGTTCTGCTCACCCAACACACAGTTACATGATGGCAGTAGGGGAAGAGACAAGTCTTCTATTGATACAGAGGATTACTTACACCTAACTGCAAGGGGGAACCAGGAATGTAACTGACAATCTGGAATACAATTCCTGGGCTTCCCTTGGTGCACCATTTATATTTAAAGATGAGCCTAACAAATCCCTGTCTGTTACTTTCATTTAGGTAAAGAAAAGCATCTAAGCAGACTGCCAGGGAGCTGGTTATGTCATCCTGATTCTCATTCTGTGGTGCATTTTAGATTAGCTTCAGGGCTACTGCAAAATAACGTAAAAAAAGAGAGTTCTTTTTAAGAGTTCTTTTTAATAATGTAATTGCAAATAGGAAAGAACTGCAAATGAGGCCTGCATGATTGTGAATAGGAATGGAGTTTGTCAATAAGCTCTATACTCTCTTTTCCAATGTGGAAAAAACTGAGAACCCCTGCTCCATGACAATTCTAAGATAAGATATCCTAGTCCTATAAGAAAACCTGGATATTCCTAGCAACTTTAATGTGTGTTCCTCCCAGAGAGGGTTGCAGGGTTAGGTCCTTATTTTGAAGTACAAACGTATCAGCAACGATGGTCTTGAATACATTTAGGAAAGTGTTTAAGGATGTGTGTAGATGCTTTCTCAAATGAGAACACATTCCTGAACTGTCTTAAGCAAGAGAGATTATGAAAGAAATCCATTTGCTCACATAAAAAATCTAGGTGCAGGCAAACTGTGGTCAAAAGTCTCTTACTTTCTCATTTTCCTCAAATATTAAACATATGCATAGTATGCTGCTGTTTCAATTGACTCAATGGGACTCATCTCAAAGAATGATCTGATTCTGATCCCACTGAGTAGGAACTAATTTGCAATTTTTGAGAAGCTTTTTCTGTTGCTGTGCATGACATTGTACTCCATAGCCTGTATCACAGTACATGTTGTATTGTATCAGAATGTGTTCCACTCTATCTTATACTAAAGGGCTGCATCTAGACAGGCAAGATTTTGCGCAAAAGTGGCCGCTTTTGCGCAAAATCTTGCCACCTGTCTAGACTGGCTGCGAGTATTTGCGCAAGAACACTGACCTAATACTGTACAAAATCAGTGCTTTTTGCGCAAATACTCTGATGCTCCTGCTCAGGGATAAGCCCTCCTGTGCAAGTATTCTTGTGCAAGAGGACCACTGTAGACAGCAACATTAATTTCTTGTGCAAGAAAGCCCGATGGCTAAAATGGCCATCGGAGCTTTCTTGCGCAAGAGAGCATCTACACTGGCATGGATGCTTTTGTGCAAAAGATGTGCTTTTGCATGAAAGCATCCATGCCAGTGTAGACGCTCTCTTGCACAAATACTTTTAATGGAAAAACTTTTCCAGTCTAAACGCAGCCAAGCTGTTATGCAAGCTTAAATACAGCAGGTGCTACTTGTCTATTCTACAATAACTTTGTCCTACTCTGTGGATGTATTATGCTCTTTGCAAGGAATAGGTACAACTTGAAGAATTTCAGTTATGTCTTCTTCCATCTGTATTCTCACCCTGATTACGGGTGGTGCATGGCAAAGTGAGAGTGTGGAGTATGATCTTTTACTGAAATAGATCCTATTATATTTGTAAATCATCCATGCATATGTATGAAACAATGATTGTTTGAAGAATGCATTTATAACCCATACAATGCAGTCAAAACAGTAAACACAGTGAAATCTGTTTGGGTTTCCATAGCAGCTGGAAGTGTTTACAAAAGTGCAGTAACCAGAAGTTAAATATTAGACCTCTCATAGGAGGGGTCAGCCTTTTGGAACAGGCCTAAATTCTTAGTTGCAGCACCTGAGCAATATGGGACAGAGGCCCCTTGCTTCTACACTAGAGGAGCTTTGAATTGGTTTCAAGTCCAAGTCTAGTAGTCAGGTGTTTCTTGCTCCCTCATAGGGACTCCACCTGTCTGCTGCTCTGCCTTCTCCATGTGGATGTCCCTCAGAGCACATCTACACTGAAAACTTATTTTGACCTATTTTAGATCAACTTACAGCCACTGCAGCAATTCATGGGGTGGTTCACATCCATGTTATGCTCCTTCCGTCAGTGGTGTGTGTCCTCTATGCAGCTTCCCTCCATGGTTCCCCACCTAGAACCAAGGTAGCTTCCAGGCTTCCAGTGAGGCATGAGAGCCCCGGCAGCATCCTGGCACCCAGTAGGGGAGGGAGAAGCCAGGAGTGGACATCCAGGGCAGCATCCTGGTTTGGAACAGGGTGCCAGGACCATAGGAGCAATCTGGCATGGAACAGAGAGGCAGCAGCCCAGCTGGGAGTGAGGAGCTGGGACCCTAAGGGGAAGCCAGGACCTCCTGACTTGAAGTGGTCCTGGCTTCAGGCCTGGAATGACAGCAGTAGTCCCAGGGCTGGGACCCTAAGGGGAAGCCAGGAATGAAAGCCAGCAGCCAATGTAAGGAACCCGTAGTGCTTAGTCAGACACTGTGTAGCCTTTACTACATCAGCATAAGCTCTACGCCTCTCATGGAGGTGGCATTGTTATACCACAGTAGTAAGGCACTTATATCACCAGGAGCTAGGCAGGAGTGTATACATTGATATAATTTGGTCATCATCTGTTGCCTTAATGTGAAACTAATTTTGTAGAGTAAACCAGAGCTGAGAGTGGAGAAATGGTCTGAGGTACATAGGAGGAAGTTTAATAAGGACAAATGCAAAGTGCTCCACTGAGGAAGGAACAATAAGTTTCCTACATACAGAGTGGGAAGTGACTATTTAGGAAGGATACTGCAGAAAGGGGTCTAGAGGTCAGAGTAGACCACAAGCTAAATGAGAGTCAGTATGACAGTGTTTGGAAAAAAAACCAAAAAACCACACACCACACAATAACAACAACATGATTCTGGGATGCGTTAGCAGGAGTGTTGTGAGCAAGACACAAGAAGTCATTCTTCCGCTCTACTCTGCGCTGATTAGGTCTCAGTTGTGTCTGGTTTGTTACCCAAAAATTCCCAATGGAGACCATCCAAGGTTACTGGTTTGTAACCCAAAAATTCCCAATGGAGACCATCCAAGGTTACACTAATATGGATTTATTGATTGAGGAATTAACACTCTTCTATATGGTTAAACTAAAGAAGTTAGAGCGTCCACTAAAGCTTTAAACTAAAGGGGAACCAGCTATCTCTCACATATACAAACACACACACACACCCCTTCATTACTTCTCTCATTCACACACATTCATTCCTGCCCTTAGGCACTCACACACTTACACAGGCATATGGGTTGTAGAAGGAGCCAATGCATGTTGATTCTGGAGGGTCTGTCTGTTCATGGCTGGGGAGCTGGTCAGAAAAGAAAGAGAGCTTCTGGCTACAGAAAAAGGAGCTTCTCAGAAAGGGAATTTCTGCCACATGATCTCTCCTTTTATTGCCTCTGTACAATTCCTGTGACTCATCCACATTCGTCACCAGAGAGCATGCCCAGACTTCCCTTGATTCAGATCTCAGAGCAGCAGTGTCTCCTTGCATGGTCTGAGGAGTCATCATGTGGCACCAGGTTCTCAGTCTTGCAGTTTGTAATCCCCAACGCACAATAGTCTCCACTCACACATACATGTATCAGGGGAGAATGCAGTTTAGAGCAAGTTACAAGCAGAATGGAAGGAAGTTACAAAAAATTACAAAGTTAAAGTTTTGCAAGATTTTATAAAGATTACAGAGTTTAACAAAGATCACGAGTTGCAGAGTTTAAAAGGCAATGCAGCTGAAACAATTACAAAGCTTCAGAAAATCATTTACAAATCATCAGTAATGAAGTGATTTAGAAGACCACTGCCCCTCCCCTTAGCAATGCAGTCAGCAGGAGGTTTTTGTCAGTCTAAGTCATGCATTGGCAGGACCTTACAGTTTAGTGTATTTCCAGAAAACCCATGTGTAAAATCAATTAATAGCTCAGGCA